GCAACCTCGCCAGCATTTATCGTTCAGAGTCTTTTGGATTTTAGCCATCTTAACTGGGGTGAGATGGTATCTCAGTGTGGTTTTGATTTGCATTTCCCGGATGCTGAGTGATGTTGAGCATTTTTTCATATGTTTGTTGGCCATTTGTATATCTTCCTTAGAGAAATGTCTATTTAGCTCTTTTGCTCCACCAGATTCTTAACTCTTTGAAAACAGGTACTGTGTTTTATTCTATTTTATATTCCTGGTGCATTGCACAGTTGTTGGCATATAATAAGCACTTAGAAATATTTGTTGAAGAAATGGGGATAAAATGTAGCTTACTCAGTGAAACTATTTTGTCTGATACTATAATGGTGGATACATGTCATTATATATTTGTCAAAACCCATAGTACAACACCAAGAGTGAACCCTAATCTAAACTATGGTCTGTGGGTGATAATGAGTTGCCAGTATAGGTTCATAGATTGTAACAAATTTACCACTCTGGTGGGGATGTTGATAATGGGGAGGCTGTGGAGGTATATGGGAAATCGCTATACCTTCCTGTCATTTTTGCTGTGAACCTAATATTGCTCTAAAAAATAAAATGTTTTTGAAAAAGCAGCTAGTTAGCAAATTGTTAGTTTTTTTCCTCCCTAAATATGAAACTTTAGAAATATTCCTGCATTCTTTTTTTTTTTTTTTTTTAAACAAAGATGACCAGTAAGGGGATCTTAACCCTTGACTTGGTGTTGTCAGCACCACACTCTCGCAAGTGAGCCACAGGCTGGCCCTGTTCCTGCATTCTTTAATTCTGTAGTCTTTTTGTCCAACCAAAAATTTTTCAAGGGAAACGCATCTTTCGTTTCAACAGAAATTTAACTTACATCAAACTTTTCCAGATTTATTTTGTTAAACAATGACTTTCCACTGAAGTGTACAGTGGATTTAATGAAAGTAAATATCTACTGACTGATTCCTTATTAATGAGATATATTTATTATTTTTAACTAAGGTTAATTAATCATTTTTGTTTCCTTTTCAGTGTGCTCATGGATAACATGAAACATGTATTAAAACTAAATAAGTTAATAATGAAATCACAACAGGTAAGCTTGAGCATTAGGCTACTTATACATTCTCATGATTTTAGTAACAACTTGCTGGTAACTGTATTGTATAATGATTAAATAGATTTGTGCAAAGGGACTGGTATGATTGGAATTCACTCTCCTTAAGTTGTTTCTTTCCTTTTTTCTTTTTTTTTTTTAAGCTGGTCAGTACAGAGATCAAACCCTGGACATTGGTGTTATCAGCACCACATTCTAACCAACTGAGCTAACCGGCCAGCTTAATTTTTTCATAACTCCATTATTTCTCACTGATGTTGCAAATCATCTATTTATAATTTAAACCTTGTCTTCTCCCTTTTGTGTGTGGAAATAGACGAGTTGAAAACCAAAGCTTTAGTAAACATAAAATAATATATAAAACTTAGTGATTTAAGTATTATATAGATTTGTTCTTAAGTAATGTGCTTTAATCTTTTTATTCTTAATAACAGGAGTCTTGGGATTTAGAGGAAAAACTGCTTGATGTTAGAAAGAAGAGACTGCGTATGTAGAACACTTTTTTTTCCTTTTTTTGGTGGAACATGTTTTCACCTACTTTGGAGATTGAGAAGGCCAGATCTCTTAGCCAGTGAGAAATTTCTTAAAATTTTGGACGTGACAATTTAAAAAGGAGGATTTAAAATACATTTTGCTTTGTTTTTGTTGTTTTAACAGCACCGCACTCTCCCGAGTGAGCCACAGGCCGGCCCCTGTTTTTGTTGTTTTAAAACTTGATTGTTGTTGTTGTTTGTTGTTATTTTTTGGCAGCTGGCCAGTATGGAGAGGATCCGAACCTGTGACCTTAGTGTTACCAGCACCATGCTCTCTCAAGTGACGTAACTGGCCAGCCCTTGTTTTAGAACTTTAAATCACAAAATTAGTAATAGATTCTCAGTGGAGGGGAGGGGGGAATCAAATGATACAGAAAACTATAATGCAGAAGACATGCCTCCTCTTTGTGCGACCACAAGTTTTGTATATATTACTCTGGGCCTTTTTCCATACCCATATAACATTTTATATATACATAATTTCTTTTTTTTTTTTTGTGACCGGTAAGGGGATCGCAACCCTTGGCTTGGTGTCGCCTGCACCACTCTCAGCCAGTGAGCGGACCGGCCATCCCTATATAGGATCCGAACCCGCGGCGGGAGCGCCACTGCGCACCCAAGTGCCGCGCTCTCCCGAGTGCGCCACGGGGCTGGCCCAATATATATATACATAATTTCTAAATGATCAATTGGTACATACGGTTTTACAGCCGTTTCACTTAATTTATCATGACATGAGATGGCTTTTTGCATTGAAACTATTGAAATGTTTATTTCAAAAGCAATACACATTAAAGTATGGTGGTATAACACCAAGGTGAAGGGTTTCGATTCCCCTACAGCCAACTGCCAAAAACAAAGTCATACACATTCTCAGTGGAAATTTAGAAACAGAAAAGTAAACATAGGAAAAGTTAATTTTTTAATTTTACTTATCAGTCTTCAATGGGTATTTCTTATAAAATTGGCATAATTTTATTCTGTGTTCTAAACTGCATTTAACAGTACAGGCATGATTTATTATTTTATTTTACTATTATAAAACATTATATGGATTTGCCTGTTATCAAGTAATTTCAGGGTCAGAAGTAGTCTTGGTCATCCAGTCTACTCATCCATTTGATGTTTCATTTTTCCCATTGCATTCTAACCTACCTTTTGATATACATTAGTGTCAAGTGTACCCAACTTTTCCATACACTAGTATCAAGGAACAAATCCCTAAGACACACCTATTTATTTATATTTTCAAATAGTTTATAAATAGAATGACTTTTTGCATCTCTGTGGAGGCAGAATCATCTTATGGTGGAGAGCAATTGATTCCAAGTTGGAAGTGCAGGGAGACATGGATGGGGGTGATGGGAATCTAGGGTTAAGATTCTACTTAATAGTTGCAAGTGGGGCCGGCCCGGTGGCGCACTGGATAGTGCGCCGCTTGGGAAGCGTGGCGGCGCTCCCGTCCGAGGGTTCGGATCCCACGTACAGACCGGCTCCCGCTCACTGGCTGAGCGAGGCGCGGAAGCAACACCGAGGCTTGCGATCCCGTTGCCGGTCCCCGGTCCGGTACGGGGGCAACACTGAGGGTTGCGATCCGTTGCCGGACACGGAAAAAAGACAAAAGACAAAAAAAAAAAAAATAGTTGCAAGTGACCTTGAGCAAATTACTTAACTTTTCGAAGCATCAGTTTCCTTGTTTAGAAAGAGTGGTTGTGAGAACTAAAGAAGATAATTCATGTTAATCTGTTTAGCATAGTGTCTGGTCCAAGTAAATTCTTAATAAATGTTGGCAGTTATTATCATGTCAGTTTTTAAATTTCATACATTCCTTAATTCTAGATATTTTTAAATTACTTTTTGAATTGTAAAATGTCTCTGGAATTGTTGAGATAAAATATTTAAATTACCAGTTTTCGGTGATGTAAGATATGCAGTTAAACTATATAAAGCAAGTGCTGACTTGTAAAATATGAGGTCTTGCAACTCCCTGGGTCTTATACTGTACCTGCTTTATAGAAGCAGTGGGTGATTGGATTAAGAGTGACCAAATCCCCTACACTAACCTAAAATGGAGGATTAAATCATGAGTACAGAATTATTTTACTTTTTTTTTTGGCACATGTCCCTTCCATGCTGCTTTAAGCCTTCAATTATTCTTCATTTCTTGATTTTTATTCATCCTCTATAAATTAATATTAATTTTGATTTAATTAACTCCTCGCTTTTTTAAATAGAACATAGCTTTGGCCAACTTTAGGAGCTCTCTTTATTCCTAAGATCAGCCTTTAGGGGTTCAATCATGTTTGACTGCTAGCTTCCACCCACCTTTGTAGATTTGACTGAATTTATATACACTAGCCCTTTCATTCACTTATAGCAAGAATATGCTTTATATAAACAAAGTTTTTAATACTTTATTTTTTTTTTTGTCTTTTTTTTTGTGACCAGTAAGGGGATCGCAACCCTTGGCTTGGTGTCGTCTGCACCGCACTCAGCCAGTGAGCTCACCGGCCATCCCTATATAGGATCCGAACCCACGGCGGGAGCACTACTGTGCTCCCAGAGCCGCACTCTCCCGAGTGCGCCACTATACTTAACAATATAACCCTTATACTCTAAAATCTGCTTTAACATTATTTCAATCAGTAATTCAGTATCACTGAGCCATGGTTTTTCAAAGAATAATGACCAGAATTTTCATTAATTATGATCCTAATCATTTCTCCATTGTCTACTACAAAAAAAATATTCTTCGGGCCAGCCCGTGGCTCACTCAGGAGAGTGTGGTGCTGATAACACCAAGGCCACGGGGTCGGATCCCTATATAGGAATGGCCGGTTGGTTCACTGGGTGAGCATGCTGCTGACAACACCAAGCCAAGGGTTGAGATCCCCTTACCGGTCTTTAAAAAAAAATATATATATATTCTTCACCTTTTTCAGGATCTTGAAACATTGCAAGCGCTAAGAACTCAGCTGTTCTTTTACCTCTTTTGAAAATAGGACATATTATTTATGATTAAATTATTTTTTAATATAGAAGTGTAAAATGAACTCTGAACCACAGCTGCAGTCTTTTTCCTCTAATTTAGGATAGCACTACCAATTTTCCTTAATGAGTAAAAACTATACATGGAAACCAATGAAGTATAAAAAAATTATTGTAGGCATTATAAATACTTATTAGTATTATGGGTATCAAGGCTGAAGCTTTACTAAAAATGGGAATGAAGATAAAAATGTATTACTGTGTTTTCTCATGATCACGGAGCTATACACCTAGTAAATGTTCAGTAAATATTAGGTAAGATCAGTGAAAAAGGATTTTTGTAAATCTTTTTGTAAATTTTTATAAGTACCTATAACTTAAAAAAAATTTTTTTTTTATTACAGGGCCTCATTTTGGGGAGTAAAGTCAATTGGGCAGAGGATTCTGCCTTTAAGGAAACTGTTCTGCAGCTTGAGAAGAATCTCACCACAATCTAATAATGTTTTGGCATTTTGTGTTTTTGTCTTTGATATGTCATTTAAATAGCAAATACCAAGTGAAATGTATTTGTGTTTTGGAACTATTCTAATACTGCAATTTTTTTTTTTTTTTTTAAAGATGACCGGTAAGGGGATCTTAACCCTTGACTTGGTGTTGTCAGCACCACGCTCAGCCAGTGAGCAAAGCGGCCATCCCTACATAGGATCCGAACCTGTGGCTTTGGTATTATCAGCACCGCACTCTCCCGAGTGAGCCACAGGCCGGCCCTACTGCAATTTTTTTTAGCTTGAGTTAACACTATTACATGAAATCTGTTGTTTTAAATATGATCATTAAAGTGACTGGCATACTCTAAAAGAATCCAGAAATCTTAGCCTTGGAAGGAAGACATCTGGTCCAGCTTTCTGTTGAATGTGGACATTTTTTGTACAATATTCTTGGCAGTCCCAACTCTTATTTGAAATACATTTGTGCATTTGTTTGTCAACCAAAGTAATAGAAAAGTACATCCAAAGTGTTAACAGTTGTGGTTATTTGTAATGGGATTGTGAGTGATTCTTTTTCATTTTGTATTTGTATCATGCATTATTTTATAAATGAAAGTTATAAATGTTTCTCTGTCATATTAATTAAAAAATATAACTTGCTGTTGTTGACCAGTACCCCGAGGGGAGAAGGTGGGAAATGAAGAAAGACATGATTTCTTTTATGGAATCAGAAGTACCTTGCAGGCTGCTGACCTGTAAGGCATCTCAGTTTATTTTTGGTTCCTTTTTATAAGCCAGTAAAAATAACAAATCATACTGATTAAATCAATTATATTTGGTACCAAGCTATTTACAGAACATTTTCAGCTGCCATGGTGCTTGAAGATTCATAGCTAACTACTTATCAACAAAATTAGAACATAAGTTCCTTACTTACAAAGCTTCCAGGGTCCTGGGTTCAATCAAAGGTCAGACCTCAAAGGGAGGGAGAAGGGGGAAGTAGGCAAAAGGGATGACAGTCTTGCTGGTTTCCCTAGAATAGCAAGGACTTTGTCAGCTTGATTATTCAGTACCCCACAACTTGCTACTTTTTATAACATCCCGTTTCATTTTTGGAAAACTCTAATTTGAGCTCTTTATTAGTTTGGAACTATTGATTATTTTTATAGGCAATGTAGTTTGTTCAACATTCTTTTTAGAAAGAATTTAAACTTGAAAAGATTCACTGAAGTTGAAATTTGTTCTTTAACAACAGAAGCACAAAGATTTGCCTAAATTCATTCTGAACACTTTTTTCTTTAAAATATTTAAAGTTTTACTCCATTTGTCAATAAATCATAATTTATGTGTAGTTTTATTCTTTTGGCCACAGTGTATTGTCTACATAGATTGTTGCAAAGCAAGTTATATTTTTCTTACACACAAAAACATTTTTTTGGAAAATGCCTTCCTGGGGCCGGCCCATGGCTCACTCGGGAGAGTGCG